TAAGGCTAAGGGGTTACAGGGCTAAAGGCATATCGCGAAAACGCTGCAGGGCGATACTCAGGCAAATGTTTGAAATTTGCATGAGCATCGCCCCTCAGTGTTTTTCGTCATCACCCTTTTGCAGCCCTCAGGGACGCCTGCACCAGGACTGCGCCGACCTATGGGCAATAAGGCAATAGTCTACAAGGCGATGGTGCTATAAGGCTAAGAGGTTACAGGGCTAAAGGCATATCGCGAAAACGCTGCAGGGCGATCCTCCGGCACAAATTTTGAAATTTGCCTGACAATCGCCCCTCGGTGTAATTTCGCCCTCAACCCTTTCCGCGCTAAGGGCGCTGGGCCACCAGAACTGCGCCGACCTCTATAACAATAAGGCAATACAGTCTACAAGGCGATGGTGCTATAAGGCTAAGGGGTTACAGGGCTAAAGGCATATCGCGAAAACGCTGCAGGGCGATACTCAGGCAAATTTTTGAAATTTGCCTGAGCATCGCCCCTCAGTGTTTTTCGCCCTCACCCTTTTGCAGCCCTCAGGGACGCCTGCACCAGGACTGCGCCGACCTATGGGCAATAAGGCAATAGTCTACAAGGCGATGGTGCTATAAGGCTAAGGGGTTACAGGGCTAAAGGCATATCGCGAAAACGCTGCAGGGCGATACTCAAGCAAATTATTGAAAATTTGCCTGAGCATCGCCCCTCAGTGTTTTTCGCACTCACCCTTTTGCAGTCGGTTCAAAGAGGCCCCCAAGACGGCTTCCGACGGCGTCAGACGGGCCAGGAAAGCCCTAAGACGGCCAAGGAGGCCCCCAACAAGCCCCCCGAAGGCCCCCAGCAAGCCCAAGGAGGCCCCTCCGCTCCCAGCAGGCCCCAACAGTGCCCTCTGAGCATTGCCCCCCTGCGAATCATAAAGATTCTGCAAATCTGGAAACCTGGAGCACCCTGCACGGACGAGCGAGACATTGCTCCCAGGACCACGACCTCGGAGGGGGCCGGGAGGATGGAGGAGGCGGGAGGAAAGGGGGGGCCCCCAGGAGGCTCCAGAGCTGCTTCCGGAAAGCCCCCCAGAAGGCTTCCAAAAGGCACCAGCAAGCATCCGAAAGGCCTCTGACCAGCAACCTGGGCACGGTGGCGGCATGGGCTGCTGAAGGGTGTCCACGACGGCTGGGGGAACGCAAAGACCAAATAGCTTGGCCAAACTTTGCCGAAACTTGTGGCCACATAGGCGTATCCTGAAAGGCAGCGGCGGCGGCGATTCGCTGCAGGAGTCTTCGATTCGTCGCCACCTGTGCTCTTGCCACAGGGGTGCTTGAAGGATGGAGCACGAGGATGCAGCTCCTCCTCCTCCTCCTCCTCCTCCTCCTCCTCCCTCCTCCCTCCTCCCTCCTCCCTCCCCCCTCCCCCTCCCCCTCCCCCTCCTCCTCCTCCTCCTCCTCCTCCTCCTCCTCCTCCTCCTCCTCCTCCTCCTCCTCCTCCTCCTCCTCCTCCTCCTCCTCTCCTCCTCCTCCACCTCCTCATCCCCTCCTCCCTAATCCTCCTCCTCCTCCACCTCCTCCTCCCCCCCCCCCCCTCCTCGGGGGAAGAAGAGGAGGGGGGAAGGGGGAGGAGGGCGAAGACGAGCAGGAGGCAAGGTGTTGCTCCCTTTCCAGAGCTCGCGGGCGACGCGGCGCTCGGGGGCGACGCGCTCCGCCGCGGCAGTCAGTCCGATCCCGCCGCGTCGGCGGCGGCGCCCCGGCTGGCCCGCTTGCACGCCGCAAGGAAGGCCCCGTTGTCCAGCGGCAGGGGCCTCTGGAGCGCGTCCTGCAGGAACTGGGCGAGGCGGGCGTTCCGCTCATGCGCCACGTCCTCGGGGGCGACCTCCATGGTCCTCCATCTGGCACGACGAAGAAACCATCCGCACCTGAACGGACCCTTGCCCAGGAACAAGCAGTGAATCTGCCTGCTCTTGCCCTCGTGCGGCACGTCCGCGACCGGCCCCTCGAGCACGGAATAAGCCTGCATTCATTTTCGGCTCCTGAAGCACCCTAAACGGCGCCAAAACGGCCCCATGCGGGGCCCACGACGGGGGACGTGAACCGAACTTCCTAGGCCTCCGCTCCACGAGGATCCCAAGAGGTCCAAGAAACATCCAAGGTACTCGAAAACAGCCCCGAAGGGGGTCCTCAAGGAACCGCTCCTGGAGAGGCCCCAAGATCGAAAGAAGCTCCAAAAGGCACCGAAGAAAACGTATGCCCACAACCCAAGCACGATGGCGGGATGTGCCGAAGGCCATTAGATAGCGGGCCCAGCCGCACTGCAAGCAGGCGTGCCACTTCCCGTCGAGCGCCAACAGGGCTTCTTGGCGCACGCGGTTGACGCTCTGCAAGCCTGTCATGGACCCCCTGGCGGCCCCTGGCAACCTGCGCACCTTCTCGTGCCGAGGGTCCGGGTCCATCTCCTCCTCCTCGCTCTCGTCCTCCGCCTTCGCCGAGGCGGCGCCGGCAGAGGGGCGCTCGGAGCCGGAGGAAGCAGCAGCCGCCGCCGCGGCGGCGGCCGCGGGGCGGCGGAGCGCGGCGGCCCTGGCGCCGCGGCGCGCGGCGGCGGCCAAGGGCGCGGCGTCGCCTGCGCCGGCCGCGAGCGCGGCGGCGCCCGCGGGCGGGGCGCCCGGGGCGCGGCGGGAGCTGCCGGCGGCAGCTGCGTCGCCGTCGCTCCAGGCGGCCGCGCAGGCAGCCTGGCAGGTCGGAGGAGGAGGAGGAGGAGGAGGTATTGGGCACCAGCTACGCCCCCCACTTCTCGCAAGAGGCTTGCCACAGAGGTCCCGACGATACTCGATCCTCCAGGCTGGCGAGCGGGGCACATGAAAAGGAGGAGGAGGAGGAGGAGGAGGATGGAAAAGAGGAGGAGGAGCAGGAAGAGCAGCAGGCAGGGGAGGGGGAGGAGCAGGAGGATGAGGAGGAGGAAGGGGGAGGAGGAGGAGGAGGAGGAGGAGGAGGAGGAGGAGGAGGAGGAGGAGGAGGAGGAGGAGGAGGAGGAAGAAGGGGGGGAGGAGGAGGGTGGCTCACTTGGGGCTCCCAAATGATGCCCCTGGCAGCGTTTTGTGACCATGAGGCTCTCAAGAGATACATGTTGGGGACGCCAAACGGCAATTCTAGCTGAAACGTCCCACCAAAATCGGCGCGAACGGGCTCGTGAGATCAGCCAGGGTGGCTCCCCCTTGGGGCTCCCAAATGATGCCCCTGGCAGCGTTTTGCGACCATGAGGCTCTCAAGAGATACATGTTGGGGGCGCCAAACGGCAATTCTAGCTGAGACGTCCCACCAAAATCGGCGCGAAAGGGCTCGTGAGAACAGCCAGGGTGTCTCCCCCTTGGGGCTCCCAAATGATGCCCCTGGCAGCGTTTTGTGACCATGAGGCTCTCAAGAGATACATGTTGGGGGCGCCAAACGGCAATTCTAGCCGAGACGTCCCACCAAAATCGGCGCGAACGGGCTCGTGAGAATCAGACAGGGTGGCTTCCCCCTTGGGGCTCCAAATGATGCCTTGGCGCGTTTTGTGACATGAGAGAGTGTGAGTGTGAGTTAACTTTCTATCTTATTGATCTTGGACATCTCTTCTTATCATAAATTGTTGTAATAGTACTTATCTGTTTTTTTTTTTTTTTTTTCTTTTTTTTCTATTACTTCCTTTTTTTTATAGTATCTTATCTTGTCTTGTCTTATCTGGTGATTATCATTGGGAGGAGGGAGGCGCGAGTGGGAGGAAGAAGGAGGAGGAGGAGTGGGAGGCGTCAGAGTAATAACAAGAACCCCAATCCTTAGGATATGGGGAAAAATCAGAACCAATCTTCGGCTGTCCGTGCGAACTTCTAGGATCCGCAAACGATCCCCCTCCCTGTCGCGCGGAGCGCGCCAGGAGCGGCGCCGGAGGCGCTGCCAGGGGGGGCCGCGCGGAGCGTCCGAAGTTTATGTTTTATGCAGCATATGCATGTTTTGTTTTCCGATGGAGAGCGCCAATTTTTCTTTCAGCGCACCTTTGGAGGAAAGGGAGACGGACGACGAAGAGGGGCACCGCGAGGAGGACCACGAGAATGGGAGGAAGACGACTATGCGGGCGACGAGTAGGGGACGAGGACGATGCGGAGGGGAGAAGGACGACGAGGGAGAAGGGGAGGAGGACGACGAGAAGGGGGGGAGGACGACGAGCAGGACGATTGAGGAGGGGAGGAGGGCAAGGAGAAGGGGAGGAGGACGGCGCGGAGGACGAGGAGGAAGTCTTGGACGGCGGCACCGCGCGTCGTGCTCCTCACTGTGCGTGCTGCTCGTCCGCTCTCTGCCCCGAGCCCTGGCGATATGTTCCAGCGGCGGCGAACGGATGTGCTGTGCTCGCAGGACGGTCCTGGGCAACTCAAGTGCAAATCTCGGGTCGGGCGAAAGGGGGGGATAGCAAAGGGGGGGTTGAGAATCAGCTCTGGTAGTGATTTTCCGGCGGCTCCCGGCGCTGGCGGCGCCATGATCGAGGAATGGTCCCCTCGGTGAGGGCCGAAACCAGCTGCATGCAGCAAATTTCGTAACCCCCCCTTTCCCAATCCCCCCCTTTCGCCCGACCCGAAAATCCCAAGGGCAACCCAAGGGAGACTCCCATACCATCTTGTGGCCTCTTGCGAATGGACGCTGGTCGATGCGAATCGACGCTGCTCGACTCAAGTCGGCGCGACCTCATCGACTGCTAGACGCTGGTAGACGCTGGTGTACGCTAAGAACAGAATCGCGAAGGTACACGCGGCTTCAGTCATTGGCTACCGAAGTGACGTACTCGCCCGACCAGCACAGCGTCCATACTGCTTGTACTCCCCGAGAGCACTCAAACCTTTGGACGGCCGTGCAGATCTTTTGGATCGGCGCAGCGCCCCCCTCCCCTGGAGCGCGCATCGCGCCAGCCAGGGGCGGCGCCGGCCACGCGGACCTTCGAAAGTCTGTGCGCGTGCCGCTGCGTCTTCAGCTCCTTCTCATCCCTCCTCGAGTCTCCCACTCGAGCAGCAGCTGCCCGCCGCCGATCGCGTACACGTCCACCTGCCGCGGCCGCCAGCGCCGCAACTCGCGCACCGCGAGCGCCACTAGGCCGGCCCGCACGTGCGGCTCCGACACCCGGAACGTGCCGCAGTCCAGCTCCGTACGGCCACTCGCAGGAGTGACCCTGCGTCCGAGTGCTCTCTTGGTGCGGGCCCATAAAAAGGTCCCGCCGCGGGAGTCCCACGCGTTTGGATCTGGCCCGCCCCGCGGCCGGAAAAAGAATTGCGGACGACGACTGGTACTTCCCGCAATCGGGGACGCACTGAATCATGGAAAGGCGGCTGGAACGTTTATACACCGACGCCTTTCCAGCCGCCCTGGAAAAAACGCCTCCGATTACGAAGGCTATGTCATGTAGGATTTCGTCCGCTATGTAACTACAGCCGCACACCAAAAAACACCTTTACTATCCCACAATCAAGAAGCTGAGGGAACGACCACCCTGGGCTCAGAAGGGGCCCCGGTTTTCGAGCCGCTCCTTCGAACGAAGTCTGGGAACCCGTTTTCGTGGGAGAGGCTCGCTGCGGCCAAAGAAAGCCGTTCGTTCCACATGCAGCGCTCCGGACGTGGAGGCCACCCCAAGGGGGCCCAACTGGATGGGGTCGGTGGATCGCGCCGCATCGCCTATTTATCGTCGATGCAGCGGCGATGCACGCGCGACGTCGGCGATGCATCGACGCCGTCGGCGAGGAGAGAATCTGGGTCCACAACGAGCCGCACTGCCACTGCATTGGCGATGCGGTCGGCCCACCGACCCCATCGACGCCTACCCTGATCTGTGCGAGGCGGGATTTATCCATATCCAGCGCCTGGCAAACAACATGAACACGTTCTGGCCCTGGGGGGCCGAAGATATCCAGGCCCACCGCGCGCCGCGGTCCCCAAAGATCGATCCTGCGGGTCCCAACAATATACACCACCACCTCCAATCTCCCTTCCTCCTCTACTTTCCTCTGCCCCTGTGCTTTCCTGGGGGAGGGAGGGGGTGAGGGAGGTGGTGGTGGTGTATACTCTTGGACCTCGTACGCCCCTGGGGCAGCTTCTTCAACTTGAGTCGCTGTTTGACGGTCCCGGGGCCCGGCCAGGACCCCGCCGGGAGACCGAAGAATGCGAAAAACCGTCGGCCGCGTCCGCTGCGTTTTCTGTTGATGGGCCTCTTTTCCACGACCACTACCAGAAATTGGAGGGGGGAAGCTGCGCGTGCATGTCTGGGCTGTGGCCGCCGGGGGCGGCTGCAGGGTCGCCCGCGCGGGTCGCCGGCCCGCGCACTCCTCGCGGGCACGAAGGGCTCCAGCAGTGCATTCAAAGGCTAACTCGGAATAGACACACACACGCGAAGCAGGCTCCATTATTGATCCACTCTGCCAACGGATCTCTCCATCGGCACAGCGCGAGGGCCCAGCAGCAGTGTGGTGGGAACGGCCGGCACGTTTCGCCCGTAGAAAATACCGGGCCCGGGAGCCTCGACCCCGCGGATGCGGGGCGTAATGCCGCGGATGCCCCGCGCGGTGCGTATCCGTGCGGCCGCGTACACTGTCCACAAGAAGCCTTCCACGAGAAACCCAGCCCTGAGACCCCAGGGCGTCCATTGGTTTCTGGTATTGGAACGTTTGGAACGTCGCGCCTTCCACAGCAAGAACCATCAAACTCAAGAAACCCAGGGCACCCTGGAGGCAAGCAGGTTGCTTCTTGGCATGGGCTCCCACTGTCTCCGTGCGGCCGCGTATCCGCGGGATCGCGCCCCTCAACCCAGACCGCGAGGGCGTGAGCCCAGACGCCCGGCGTCTGGATGTTGTTCGGGGCGCGAACCTCCGACCTCTCGACCACGATGCCAGGACCCGTTTTTCATGCCGATTATTTCTTGGACGAGCCCGAGGCCCGGTGAAGGGCCCGAGGAGCCGAAAACAAGGAAGAGCATCCGCCTCGATCTGTCCGAGGCGGCGGCATCACGACCGCTAGAGCGCACATGCGGATATGCTCGCCGCTCGGGAAAGAGGAAGAGGAAGGAAAACAACGAGGAGGAGCCGAACATTCATCAACGACGTTGGCATCTCCAAGCTCCCTCATCATAGGCACCTACAAGGATCATTTCCACTGACGGAACGGCTTCGTTGGGAGACAACCCTTTTGAATACCCCGAAACGTGTCAAAACAACATCCCAAGGAATGCACCGCCACGATTCAACATGACAACTGCGTCCTGACGATCCGGAATCGTGCTGGAGCACCATTGCTGGGACTTCAACGCCTCGAACCAACGAAACCGCTGCGCCCTCACGATCGAAAGCCCGCCTAAAACACCATTTTTATCAGCGGGCATCTTGCAAATGTTAAAAATGAGAGCGCGCCGCGCAAAAGCGAGAACCACAATTGGAAAAGGAACTGCCCTGAATCCGCGAAACCCTTGCCATTCTTGATGAATCAATGTGTTCGGCGCTAAGGCGAGAACCACATTTTGAAAACCAACCGCCCTCAATCCTTGCCGTTCTCACAGATTTGTTTCAATGCGTCCGCGCGGCTCTGAAGCGAGCGAGCCACATCTTGAAAAATACCTACCCTTTCCGTGAAACTCTTGCAATGTGTGAAACGAATGTGCGCGGCGCCATAGCGAGAACCACACTTTGAAACCGTCCGGCCCTCAATCCGCGAGGCTCTTGCAAAGAGTTGAACGTCCATGGCGCTAAAACGAGAGCCACGGATTGGAAGCGATCCGCCCTTTTGTTGCGAAACTGTTGCCACTTTTGAAGTTTCAAAGTCATGAATGGGGAAGGCGTCTCAAGCGAAACGACGGACCACCCTCTTGACAAAATGAAGAGTTATTCATGGAGGACGAGGAGGAGAAGGAGGAGGAAAAGGAAGGGATACCAGTGTAAACCCAACAATCACCAACGATGTCGGAATAAACCCTCCCTCCAAGCTCCTTCTTCATAGACCCTTACAAGGCTTCATGTCCACAGATGAGACGGCCTGGTTGGGAAACACATATCTGAAGACCCTGAAGCATGGCAGAACATTATTCTCGGGACTCCAACGCCACGGATCAACCTGATTGTTGCGTGTTGGCGATCCTGAGCCGCGCAAACACCATTCGTGGGACTTCAGCACCGCGAGCCAACGTAACTGTTGCACGTTCATGACCTTGATATTTTCCAAAACACAATGCCCGGTACGCTGGCAATGGCAATCCGTGAACACCTTGCAATTCTTAAACAAGACTCCACAGGCAGACTCCACAGGCAGCACGACGCCAGACTCCACAGGCAGCATGACGCCCACCGTCTCCTGCCTGTCAGAGTTCGAATTATCGAAAAAAAGTGTTTGCTGGAGTGGAGCCTGGCTTGCGCGCGCTGCGGCCGGGGGTCGATCCTGACAGCGTCGACCCATCCACGAAATGAGACCGCCCGCTCGCGATCGAAGAACCAGGGACCACCGAAGCGCGTCGTGAGCTGGCGCTTGGTCTTCTCCCCCCAGGACTTCGGTAGCGATCTGCCTGGGCGATGTTTCTAGGCCGACGTTGAAGCGGGCGGCCGCGCCTGCAGGAAGGCCCCTCGTGAGCTGCCTCCACTTGTCGCCCTGGTGCAGTACGCCCAACACCTTGGCCACCACGCGCGAGGCGGGGACCAGCGGGCCACCGAAGACCACGTCAAGATGTTAGCCAACAGCTTGGCCCTTGAACCCGTACTTGTCAGCATCTAAGCCGAGCTCGAGCAGGTACTCAGCGACGACCTGCTTGACGGTGGCGAAGGGCGCAGGTGCAGTAGCATTGGCCTTGAGGGGGCGTACATCGGGAGCCCGAACGAACCCCGGGCGCGAGATGTCAATGCTCTTGGCTGCGTCGGTGGCAACCTGCCGCTCCTTCTTGAGGCCCGCGAACTCGCGGCGGAGCGCGGCGATAGCCTCTTCGTCCTCGTCGAGGGTGGTAGAATGCTTCTGCACCCGCATCTGGAGCTCGTCGAGCTGGATCTGTTAGCGCTTGAACTGCACGGCGATCGATCCCTGGGCCTTGGCGGGCAGCGGGGTCTCGACCAGCTGCGGGACCTGGGCCCGGCCTGCACGCGCGCCGTCGAACTGGGCCAGCGTGGAAACCCGCGCCGCGGCCCCAGAGTTGGCCACCTTGGACCCCACGCCGCCAGCGATGGAGAAGGCGACAGCGTCGAGCTTGACGGAGATGGCTGAGGAGACCTCGGCGTCAACCATGCGCCACATCTTGCTGAGCAGGGCCTGATCCTCGTGGTTACTTGGATCAGGGAGGCTGGGCTGTGAGGCGTCACCACCGTCGCCAGCCACAGGAGGAGAACACCCATGGCGGAGCTGCCCGCGGGAGCAGAAGTCGGCGTAGCGGCACTTGCAGCGGACAAGGGCGAGAACGTGCAGGAGGCCTGGCGCGTGTGTGTCTTCTCCTTCTCGTCATCCTTCCTCTCCTATTCTGGCGTCTTGGGAGGACGCGGATCAAGCATGAGGCGGCCCGCCGAGGGGCCCAGGGAAGCGCGCGCACCCGCAGATGGTTGGCCTAGGATCAGAGGTGTCCATTTGGACACCGGAGGACCCACCATCTTGAGGAAAAACATGGGCATGGAGGGGGGTGGGGGAAGGAGGAGAAGCAGGGAGGAGGGAGGATGAAGGCACGAGGGCACGAGGCAGCGCGCAACCGTCTGAAGACAGGCAGTTGGCGGTGACACGAGGCGGCAGCAGCGGGCCGCTGAGGCGGTGGCCAGGGGTGGCCAGGGGTGGCCAGACGAGGAAGGAGAGGGAGGAGGAGGAGGAGGAGGAGGGTGAGGAGAAGGAGGGGAAGGATGACGAGGAGGGAGAGGGAGGAGAAGGAGGAGAAGGAGGAGACGGGGTGGAGGAGGAGGAGGAGAGGAAGGGGGATGAGACGGACGAGGGGGCGAAATAGGAGGAGGACGAAATCAAGGATGAGGAGGAGGTCGTGGATGACGACAGGAAAGGAGGACGAGGAGGACGAACGGGGGAGGACGAGGACGAGGAGAAGCGAGGAGGGAGAAAGTGAGGAGGAGGAGGAGGAGAAGAGGGAGGAGGAGGAGGAGGAGGACATCTTCGCCGCCCAAGCGCTCCCCGAGCGCGCTCACGGCGCGCAGGGCCGGATCCGGGCGTAGAGCGCCGCCGCGGACGTCCAGGCGCAAGGCCGCGGCGCCGCCCGCGCGCAGGCGCCCGCGCACCTCCTCGCGCTCGGCGTCGCCGGCGGGCGGCGCGCAGGAGCGCCCTGGCCTCCTCCTTTCCCTCCTCCTGTTCCTCCTCCTCCTCCCCCTTCTCCTCCTCCTCCTCCTCCTCCTCTCCTCTCCTCTCCGCTCCTTTTCCTCCTCCTCCTCCTCCTCCTTTTCCTCCTGCTCCTTCTCCTCCTCCTCCTCCTCCTCCTCCTCCTCCTCCTCCTTCTCCTCCGCCGCGCGCAGGACCGCCTGGGCATCCTCAGGGGAACAGAGAAGGAGGGGCAACGATAGGGGGAATAGGCATAGAGGGGGAGGCATACACCTGGTGACGGCGATGCATCGTCGATAGATCGGCGATAGGCCCCCGATGGCGAATCCGGACCTTCCTGGGCGGGTTGGGAGTCGATGCGCATCCCCCCCTATGCCTCTCCCCCCCCCTGTCGCTGCACCCGAGAGAATGGCATGAACAGAACAACTCGGAGGTACGCGCGGATATCTTGGACTGCGCTGGACCCCCTCCCTGGCGCGCGGAGCGCGCCACAGGCGGCGCTGGAGGTGCCGCCAGAGGGCCTGATCGCCGATCCGAGAAATCAGCTTGGACCCCGAGCCTTTACGTTTATGATATTGTTTGTTCCCCGACTCCTCGCTCACCGTCACGCTAGCCATCACCATCCCCTGGCTCGTGGCTCCTGGTTCTCACTCGTCGTCCTCCGCCTCTCCCTTCGCCAACCTCCTTCTCCTCCTCCTCCTCCTTCTCCGATCAATAATCATCATCATCATCATCATCATCATCATCAGCATCATCATCATCATCATCATCATCATCATCAGCAGCAGCATCATCATCATCATCACCATCACCATCACCATCGTCATCATCATCAACAACATCATCATCATCAACATCATAATGATAATCATAATCATCATCATCATCATCATCATCATCATCATCATCATCATCATCGTCATCGTCATCATCATCACCCCCCTCCTCCGGCCTCTCACCTTCTCCTCCTTCTCCTCCTTCTGCTCCGCATCCTCCCTCCTCCTCCCCCTGCCTCTTTCTTCTTCTCATCCTCCTCCTCCTTCTCCTCCTCCTCGTCCTCCTGCCCCGGCCTCCTCCTCCTCCTCCTCCTCCTCCTCCTCCTAATCCTCCTCCCGGGTTTTGTGCGCGTACAAAGCAGAGGAAAAAAGTTTTGGCGTTCACGGACGGCAAACATTGCCTCACCGGCGCCCTCGAAGTCCGGACTCTTGGGGCGATATCCCGCGGACACAGATACGCTCCCGGTGGTGCACCCGCGAAGCAGGCACCGTTTCCGTGCTTTGTGTGTGTGGAATACATCAGACAATTACTCAATGCGTGGAAATCCCAATATTGGCATCTGTTTAAAAGGAAAATCCTAAGATGGGACTCTTGCTCCCCATATCCTAAGATGGGGTTCTTGTTATTTCTTGGACGCCGCCGACTTATCCTCCTTCTTCTCCTTCTCCTCCCCTGTCCTCCGCATACCCAGACTTACTCACACTCAGATTTACTCATGCATTTTCATTTTCATTCACATCAGTGGCTCCGATGTCTGAGCGAGATCAGCTTGGCAGCAAAAAGTTCGGCTCGAAACTCATCCATTAAACTCGAAGCGATGTCCCTGCTCGCGGCGGCCGTGCGGCCTCCACCCTATGTGACGGCCTCGATTGCCAACGGGCTTGCAAAAGCCCTAGCCTGAGACCCACGACCTCTGACGTGTGAAGAAGCCGAGGGGGTCAAATCAAGGGGGGACGGTTACTTCTGAGCTCGATACCATTGTCGGGCCTGCTCTAAAACTCGCGTGCTCGAAACCATATTGTCAAAAACACGGCTACCTGGGAAAACGCCCCGAGAAGCCAAACACATAGCTATCATCCTCAGGTCCGACACGGGGGGGGGGAGGAGGAGAAGGGTGCTCCTCAGCGGTAGCCGTCGGTCTTACCGAAGATGATCGTGCGCGGCTGGAAGACGAGATATCCATGAGATTTGAAGTAGCCCCCATCCTGCTGGTGTCGTACTGGTCTCCGCTGCCACTCCAGTCGGCGTTTACTGCAATACCTGCTCCACCCATTCCTGTAGCTCCCTCTCCATGTGTGTGGCTGGCGCTCTCCCGTACTTGCGCTTCGCCCCCGTCGTCGTGAGCGCTTCCATCAAGTGGTTGCGAAACTGCGTGTCCCTCACTGCCAGCGTGAGGCGCTTCTTCTCCTTCTCGCACATACGATCTACCTTGCAAAAGGGAACCAATTCTAACTTCTACTCGCCGTTGTAGCTGTCGTAGTCCGTGCACATTTTTTGTACCACCTGCTTCAAAGGGTCGTCCACAGCCAGAGCCAATACCGCTGCCAGTAGTAGTAGTCCTCCCATCGCGTATATTTGTGGTGGGCCCATGTCGTTTTTTTTTTCGTTTTCCCTTTCTGCTTTGATATTTTTCCGTACGCCACCGTCTGCTCCTGAATGCGAAGGATAATCGGGCTGTCGCCCCTGAGGATAAGAGTGTCGAGAATCACGCTGCTCATGTCCCTGCTCTGCTGTGCGCACCGAAGGAGCTGTTTGACGATCAGGCACATCAGCATCTTGGTGTGGCGTGGGAGTTGGGTTTTTGCCGCCTCCATGGTCTTCTTTTTTCCTTCGGCATCGTCCTCCTGTGTGGGTTGGCGCTGGCTCCGCTGGAACCCCCATCCATCGGCGCGTCTAGGTTGCTTGTGTGTAGGAGAGCTGGCAGAATCCAAGATCGGGTGCGGCGTCGGTAAATGAGACCACCGACGGTGTTCGTACAAGGCGGCCAGGTCCGAAAAGGCTGCGTCGCACATTGAACATTTTAGAGCAGAAACCATGTGTAGTGGCCATTTCATAGTATTCCTTCCCATTTTGCATCGGCCCTGGGCACAAGGAAAGACTAGATGATTTTGCGCACACAACTTGCTTTTCAAAGCCGTGTAACAGTTCGGGCACTGGTTCGTGATCACGCTGCTCGGGATCGCGAAGCGAAGTTTATGTCTAGCTGCTTGATGGGTAGTAAGCTGCCGATAGCTGGGGAAAGTATGATCGCAATCCGTCCCAGTTTCGTGATCGATAAATTCGCATTTGTATTATTTGGGGTTCGCATCTATCATGTCGCTCGGCTGGTCATAGAAGCGGGTCCATATGCTGCTTCCTGGGGTGTGGGCTGCTGTTCTTAGGATAGCTGGATCGACTCGTAGAAATTCTCGTTCAGCTTCGGAGTTCGGGGCGAGGGGGCCCTTCCACGATTCGTTTGATAGGGCCCAGGTCTCCCAGAAGGCCTCGGCGCCACTGATGCCCCTGAAGAGGTTCAAGTCCCGAACGAACTGGTGGGCCCATGGGTTCGCTTTCGCTTCTAACCTCCCGTGTTCATCTAACGTCGGGGGTTCGCCCGGGATGTGTCCTGATAGCGACCAGAGTTTGTCGGTGTGCAACACGGTGACGACACACCGAATGCAACCATTTAATTCTTCTGACCGCAAGCTCTGCTCTTACTGGGAGCATCTTCCAATGCTCAAGAACCTCGGCGTTGCTCATGGCGGTCATGTGCGAGTCCGCGTGCACCGTCTTAGCTCTGCCTTGCATAAGGGCACGGAGGTATTTTACCGAATGGGAGTCCGGCTTTTTTCTTCGGTTTTCGTCATAACGAACGCTTCGAGCCCTGAAACTCCAGCCTCCAGCACCTTCCCCAAGAAAATTTCTCGTTTGAGCTTCCAGAGCCCTCTTTCATTCCAGAACTTCCCAAGTTGACACCATCCCGCTGCCCTTTGACCGAATACGGATCGAGACCTCTAACTGATTGCTGGCCGTCATCGTGTATCTAGCTCCCAAGCGTCGTGCATCTGGAACTACCTGTCCCTGGGAAGAGGGGCATATTTCCTGGAGCTTCCGATTCTCGATCTGCGATCCGAGAGCTGGGACGATGTCCTTTTTTATCTAGTATGTGCAACATGCCAATGTTTGAGTATATAATCGAACTGCTTGTCGTCCTGACGGGCACAGTCGTTTCTTCAGTAGATCACCCGGGAAGCCCGAGAGGGATACGTCCTGGTGAACGCCCTCGATCTCGTCATACATGACTATGGGGTCCTGTGTAATTTCGTCAGTCTGAGGTACAATCATGATAAACTCCAGTGAACTGCTTCGGCGCCTCGCTTGAACCTTGTAGGCCTCCGTTGCGCAATGGAAAAGCTGCCTCTTTGTCGCCCACTGGGGTGAGTACTATGCTGTTCACCAATCTCTGATGTGCTAGGGCGCGCGCGTCTTCTCGAACGAGCTGATGTGAAATATGAAGAAGATCTCCTGTGCGAGGGCAAGGGAATGCGTTGGAAAGGTCGTGTAGCTCATTGATGTGGTGCTGCTGCTGCCGTCTAAGTGACCACCCAGTGCGTTTCTGAACCAAGATTGCCCCCTCGAGCCGTCGATGTGCTAGAAACCAGTGCCAGTGACTTCGCATAGTGTTTGTCCATGCTTCCTTTTTGTTCCCCCAGCCGTAGAGTACGCCATAGAAGCTCTTCCATGTCGTGTCGGAGAGGTGAGTGATGCGCTGGCTATTCATCCTGTGCTTCTGATTCCGCTTATCGAGAAAGACGCCCTCCGTGATGCCGCTCTTCGTCGGTAGCTGATTGGCCCGCAAGCAGTGCATCAAGATCTCCACGAAGTGTGAGCGAGTCCTTGTATACGCCGATGCAGCTTCCATGACGTTCTGGCGTCCGTCTCTTGCGCGGCCTCTCTCATTCTCAGGCTGGGGGGGTACGTTCTGATCGCCAGTTTGGGGCCTCGCCACATGTTGACCCGCTGGGCCTGCGCGGCGGCCGAGACTGTCCAAGGACTGGCCTCGGCGCAAGGCATTCCCGAGACTTCCCCCACTTAAGTCCAGCAAACTTCCTCTGCGACTGGCGGACGGCGAAACCTGAATAGGATACAGAGACTCTTCCCATTGCAGGTCGTCGTGGTCTGCGAGGGGGTCGTCACTCATGTCGGGGAATTCGAAAGGGTCCGTCTCCGAGTCGCCCAGGTTTGTCCGAGCTCGGTCCTGGGGATCTTGAGACAGATCCATCTGATTTGAAGTAGCCTCCACAAAGCTGGTGTCAATGTTGGGTGCCGCTGCCGCGTTTACTGCAATAGCTGTGTTTTCCACTCCTGTAGCTCTGACAAATTGTATCGGGGGTAGTCTGACATCTGGTCGGCGTTCCCCCCGGGAGTCGGCACCCGCTGCCGCCAAGCGCCCAGGGGGCTGAGGCGGTGCGCTGCGCGTGTTCTCGGGGGCTAAAAGACTCATGCCTCCAGCCTCCTCAGGAGGCAAACCATGCCCCACTCCGCCCTGCGCTGCCAGCGACTTGGGGAGATATGTGGGGCCCAGGCTCATCAGCGCGATCTCGACGGGGACGCCCCATTTAGTTGTGCTTCTGCGCTTCTTCGCTTTGCCTAGGCGATAAAGGAGCTGTGGGAATAGAACGCACGCTGTCACTTCCATCGTACTGTTGCGCATTTTGAGAAAATCGCCCGCCTGAGGTGCCAAAAACTCGTTAATCTCATGTTGCAAATCAATCCGTGTTGCATCCACGCCTCCGTCTGGTCCTGGTTGAACGATATGTGCTTCCAGTTCTGGTAGAGAAGGTTTGTAGCTTGGTAAATGACAATATATTCTGTTTTTAACTCCCATTGCTTTCCCCGCCAACTGTCGTGCAATACGATGTGCATCAGCTGCGTGTCCTAGTCTTCTGGGTTCCACAAGGTCCTCGTAGAGATGTTTGCGGTATGCTGCATACCCTTGCCTTGAAGCACGACGTATATGATGCGCAAGGCTGCGGGTCTCCACTTTCAGGTCGTCCAGGTATTCTTCGTGACATCCTTGAACTTGCCCGTACTCCTGCCGCTGGTGGGCAAGATGATCTCGGTACTTCCGTCGTTCGTGAAGTTTCTCGAGCCTAACGTCACGCCATTGCTTTACTTCTGCATGATCTGGTCGACTGCCTCGTTCGCCAAAATGGTCCTGGGCTGTCTCGAGCAAGGTGTTTGCCCACAGGTTGTAGTCATAATCCGTGTGCGCCAACTCTGAGTACTCCGCTAGTTGATTCGTTATGCTTGCCATTCGGTTATCTAGATCGCGATGAAAATCGAGTCTACCCACGGCGCTCTGAAGCGCTTGTGCCATCTTCGTGTAGTCCCAGCGAGGACGTGGGTTGTGATGAACATACGTTGGCATCTCGTAGTCGGTCGTAAAGAAATAAGGGTAGGTGGTCTCGAGGTTTTGAGTCTGGAAGCATTTGCAACTGCCGTCCTCGCTGCCAGGCTACCGTACACGTTTGCACTCCATCTAGCAGGATTGTCGGGATAA